ATAGGGTTGACCCTGCTTTGGAGCCGTGAAACGTCAGGGTACATCGTGGCTTTGAAAAACTATGAAGTCCTCAAACCAGTCTGGTGTTTGTGTCAATCGTGAGGATAAGAGGTGAAAATGTAGTTGGGGGCACACCTTGTTATCTTGTCCTCTGAGTAGAATTGTGTTCTTCCATGAGTAGAAACTTCTTCACCTTTAGGGCTGGGTCTGATTTCTCAAAAATTAGCAAAAAGAATACTGTGCCGGGTTCTCTTACAGGTTTCAAAAAGCTGTTAGATCGTTATCTTTGTCTCGCTAATTAATACTTTGTTACTCCTAAGTTGATATTCATGTTCTGGCGCAGGCCAGAACCCGCGGTCACCCCCGCTCCTTAGGGGCGGGGCTTAGGGCATTGTGGTTTCTGTTCTGCCCGAACCAGGGTGTCTTGTGTGCCATTAGGATAAATCTTGTATCCAACCACTGAACCACCTTCATACATTCTTAAAGAGAGATACTCATCTCTCGTAATTAAAGGGCGCCACCCTTCCGCCTAAGTCACAACAATTTATGTTATATTTTTCGCTATGCCTTTAGCTGTTGTTTCTTTTGGTTCCTTGAGATTTATTTTTTTTTTTGTTCCTACGACATGTGTGTTAGCATGTAATAAATTTGAATTTGAGAACGCTTACCCGGCTTCTTTAACACAGACAGATAAGGTTAATGGCTCCTTTTTGGTGTACTTTTGATAAGAACGGTGAGTACCAGATATTGCATGCAGGGTCAACCGTCACGCTGGACAAATTTCAAGAATTTTACGACCCCCCCCTTCTGGAGAGTCTCGATAAGACCCCCCAGCTGTTATAGTATTTGATTCTGAGAGCAGCCGACACTGCCCAACCCCACCCACATATCCTCCAAAATAGCCGTAGCACTCCTAGCACTCACAAAGCGCAAAAGCGTTACGCCACGACCCCGTTGGTGTAGGATTGACGCTGCCTCCGACCTTGCGAAACACCTCTTTTATTTTTCTTTGTTCTCGTTGACTTGTCAAACGGACGGTTGAACCTAGTTCCCCAACCACATTTCTGCGTACAACTGAAATCCCATGTGCTGGGAGGGTCTCAGGACACTTGTCAACCGCGAGGTTTGGCTGTTCAGCGTTTTGTAGCGGCGTCTAGAAGCGCTCACACGTGCACTTTATCCCAGCATCCCTGTTTTCTTTACCTCCTTCAATATCTCCTTCAAAGCTTAGTCCCAACAAGACACAAAGTGTATGCTTTCTCAGCTACGCTCCCACCCCTTGGTTGACAGAAGCCTTGTAACCGTGCTGGGAGCTGGTGCCAAAAAGGTCGCTCTTGACAAGAGAAATGGGTGTAAATGGAGTTTGGAGGAGCGCCCTTTGTTACCTTATCTTTACTGCAAGAAGGCCATTCCTTCTCATAAACCTTGACAGCCCAGATCGATAATCGATAGAGCTTCGAACGCTGATAACAAATGGAGACTAAAACTGCAAAATGAACCTGTCCAGGAAGTTGTGAGCAGTTAAAGTCTGTTGAAGCAGGGTCAACCCTGTGTTGCGCAAATCCCAGAAATTTTACGACCCCCTTCTTTTCGAAGGAATCAGGTACGACCCCACCCCCGGATTAACTATTATGTCTTTCACATAATTTAATTTTCAACGCTGGTGTATGGACAGTCACCGACATGGAGAAGTGATGGACCGTGGTCAATCCGCGCGCTTTGTCTCGCTCAGAGGAGGGAATCGAGGCAACATGAAGTTTTATTCATTAAATAGAAGGAATTTCCAAATTTTGCGTAAACCAATACATGATAATAATCACAAAGATTTCTACTTTCAGAAACCTACCAAGTTTTTTTTCGATCTCTCAATTTTCCTTATTTTATAATCTGAAAAACTAAACCTTGTAGCAATTACGTTGCAATCCAAACCCCTCCATTCAGAAGGTTATATTTTCTTCAGAAGCGGTCTCATGGAACCGGACACCAAAATTTTAAAAATTCAAGTTTTCTTTCCTAAAAAGTATTTGAAATGTTGCGGATGTTCAATATTTCAAAAATCGTCCCGTTGTTCCGTTTTTTGTGCACACGCGAGTTTTCGACATTCAAACATTCATAACTTTCTTCATAATCAACTTTTTGCAGATGTCTAAGGCTAATTAGAAACTAGAAGATTAGAGCTTTCAAACAAGTACCTCACTTTTTTCCAACGATCCCTCTCTCAAAAAATATTCAAACGTTCATAACTTTCTTCATAATCAAGTTTTTGCAAATGTTCTAGGCTAATTAGTAACTAGAAGATTAGAGTTTCCAAAAAACAAGTACCTCACTTTTTTCCAACGATCCCTCTCTCAAAACATAGTCCCGTTGCTCCGTTTTTCTCACCTTGATTTTTTTCAAGCCACCGTGTACTATGCAGTCCTTCTAAGCCCACAACTTCCTTCGAAAATTGAATACGAATGAAAACGCAGGGCCGTTAGAATCTACTTGAAGAGTACTTTATAATAGGTGTGAAATTTCCTGAAATTCTCTTCTATTGCCTCGATTTTCCTAAGGGCTCTCTAGAAGTCAATTCAGCAAGTTTCGCTACACTTTGTTCCGCTTAGATCAATTTGAAAGCATCGAAATTCTCTTCAGAAAGTTTGTCTGCTCACGGCCGCTGACAGAGAAGGCGTTTCTATGAGAAAACGCCTGCTCGGGTTTGCGCCGTGCACCTGTGTCTGGTTAGAAGTCGCACTCGCATTTGAATGTCCTCCATTTTCCTGAAGAATCTATCAATATCGTTATGGATTGCATTGTATTGTTATACTTGTTTCACTTCCCCATGAGGTGCTCTACAATTTGTTCTCCTTGGGATTTTAGGAATGTTCGATCATCGAAGACAGACCATGTTTTGCACACTTGTTTTTGGCTATTGTAACCTTGACATATCCTGTCGAGCGAAAGCGCCCTCCGTATATTAAAGGAATCTTCCACGGAAAAAGCTCCACCTCCATTTCCTAGACAAATGAGCATAGCAGGGTGTGGAGCGGTGGCGGGCGGGGGGGCCCTAGCCTCATGAGCATAGCAAAAAGAACGGAACATAAGCGTTAGTTTCGATAATACTAATCCTACACACAAGACAAAATGATCACTCTTTCCGTGGAAGATTCCTTTAAGGTATCGTTTTCTGTGGTAATGAGGGCGGAGCTTTTCCGTGGAAGATTCCTTTAGGATAATAATGGCTGATAGTGAGACTTATAATGCTCTGCATGCTCTAATGCTCCCATGGAGCTCTTGTCTGTGTGACTCTCCGACAGCTGCACTGTGCAGAGCTCCTGGAGAACATTAGAGCGTGAAAGTGCACTGCCGGACACTGCACTTTTCCCGTCTTGCAGCCCCGTCTCTCTGGATACGACCCCCTCCCCTTTCGTTCGGCCGAATACGACCCCCTCGTTGTTCTTTGCGCAACGGGCGGTTGACCCTGGTTGGAAGTGAAGCATCACATATGAATGGTGCTAGTATCCCGACTTTTAGCGGCTTCATTGAAATTTACACGAGGAAACGACTCAGCTAGACCATTCTCCAATAAATTAATACCGTATAAGGTGTCTATTTGTGTGCCCTATAGCCTGTCGCATCGACACAATAAACCGGAACCAATTTGGTTAGAAAAAAAACTCCTTTTTTGAGATTTTCGAACGTTTTGTCTTCTTATGAAACCTGTTGATATTATGAGAGAAAATCGCGCACTTATAGAGCAATATTTTCAACAAGAAGGAATAAATAGGATTTATAATACAAAAACCAGCTTTTCAAGTGGGAATTATGGTTCATACAGAACACCACATAGTGCACTTCATCCACAATAGACCTCGTCGTTTTTTCACAACACAAAATGAGCAAAACAATAGAAAGAGAGGGCGATTAACATTCCTTCCACTCTCAAACTGCACATTTTGATTATCCTCATGGGACCTCAGTGATAGTTCGGACTATAAATAGCTACATCCTGAAAACCGCGCTTCGCTGAGTATGTCCGTCGTAGATGAAAGTGTTGTCCAATGGTACATATTGATTTGTCGCCAATTTAATGACTTCTTGAGCGGCAATACCTGAACTTCATGTTACACAGAAGAAATGCCATTGATCAACCTGACTACAGACATTTAGAAAAGTGCTGTTTAACAACTAAAAAACAAAAGTTCGAACGGGCATGTCATCTTTCTTCTGACGCCATGCCTAATTCACACTCACAAGAAAAATCACACGGCCATTACTGAAAATCCTACATGCGTCTATCTCACTATCCATTAGGAGGCGGGTGGAGGAAGAGGGGGGGGGGGGTGGAGTTATTACCGCAACTATTCTGCCATAGCAATCTCAATTTTTGCTAAAGGAGGAAACTTCGGTGAGGTTGTGAGAGAAAAACGAAATGGCTTACGGCACACTGGAGCTTTTTTCAAGCAGTTTTTTTTATCAAGCTTTCAATAGGAAGGGAAATGTCTATAAGCACCGCATTGAGCGAAACGAAAACGAACGGATTGGAGTCATGTACTCTGCATCGCTTAGTATATTCGAACATATCCTACTCAAGAAGGATTTTATCTACGCCTTCCACACCTGTTTAAGATGTTTAAAGTCTTAAGAAATTCGTTCGATAATGTTATTTTCCAGAGAAAATTGAACTGAGACACGCAGAACCTGATTTCAGTTTTAACAAACAAATCAACTGCAATCATATTTGTTAGGTACATATTCTGTCGAAGCCAGGAGGTGGAGGTCGATGAAGGGTAAATAAATCCAGTATGCAGGCTCCGTAGAGGAGCGGGACGAAGCGCATTCTGCTGCGAGGGGTGCGCCCGTAGGTGCTTCACAAAGCCTTACCCGTGACGGTGTTTTTTTTTTCGCGGCCACCCACTCCTAGCGATTGGCTCCCCTTCCCTCGTCCCCCGCGAACTCTAACCGTTTTAGTAGAGAGGAAGAGCAGAGCGTTTACGTTGATGACGTCAGTAGCGATAATCTCGCCCAACGTAAAAATCGACAGGGGAAACAAGGGCCCCGTTTTATGGATTGAGGTCTTTTCTCTGAAATTTTTCTTCACAGCTGCACCTCTTAACGGCTCTACCTTCATTTCCCAGTGAGTGACCAATTTATTGCAAGCCCCTTTAAAGTATCAACGTTTCCGAATGATGTCTTCATTTCCATTTCACCTTCCTAACTTACCTCCTATGAGGCTGGCAATCACGTGAAGTTCTCCAGCGCCATATCGGCAAATTTCGGCTATAGCATTCTGTGGTACTTGTGAGATTATCGATTCTGGATTTTCCACCTGAATAAAGCAATGCATTCAGTACAGCTGTAATACGGGCCACAATGACCTACTCGTGAGGCCGAAATAACGGACACAACGCGTTGTTTGAGATCGAGCGCATCAATCGTGCACGGAACACCATTCGTTCCTGGATACCTGAACACTTTCGCTATATACACACTGCAAAATAGAACTCCTAGAACTTCATCGCTACCAAAGCGACAAACCTTCCTTTTTCCCGATGAAATTTATCGGCAGCCCTAAGTAGCAAGAACCAGACTGCAAGGGACACAGCGCCATCATCTTCAGATGAGTTTGCAATGCCACTCAGTAAATCCTTGAAGAACAGAATTACTGAACAGGTGTTTTGTAATGAAATAGGAAAGAAAAAAAGTAGCTAGTAGACAAGGGAGCGATAATGAACCCGGAGTTTATCATTATGTGGAAGCAAATCTATTATCGCACGTCAAATGCCAACTTCTTCTTTTATTCAAATGCCAACTTCTTCTTTTAAGAACCGAATGCGTAAAGCCATTAATAATTACTACTAACAAAGGTAAATGCTTGCCCGCGCAGGTTTCCTTCAAATATACGCGACCCACCTACAAAACAACACACAAAAATACCCGACTCTTCTCGTGAAAATTAGAATCACGACAGTAATCCGAGAAAGTAGAGCTCATCCAGACTTATTATCTGGTCGGACACAGCGTGAATTCAAAGCCTAAAACAGGTGCTCCACTTTCAGGGTGTATGCCATTTCTCTCCGTTAGGTCAGATTAGTCCCGACTAAGACACCTGTGCTCTGTTCGCAACAACCTTAACCCAAGCCTAGCCTTAAGCAATGTTCAATCGTAAGCCTGAATCTAGGCCTAACGTAAGCTTAATTCTGACCTAAGGCTCCAATCATCGCACAGATCTGATGGCCTGACCTATGGGAAAAACTGGACGTCTCCTCTTCTTCCGTAGCGTCGCATAAGCATAAATCTAGGTGGCGCGTCATGATGCTGCTTCAAAAAACTCCATAGCCTTCTCGCAGCACAGTTTGGCAAATATGGAAGACTTGTAATCAAGTGCATCAGGCAAATCAGATTTCAAGTAGTCATTCCGATCGACATTCTTCCTTTGTTAGGCAGAGAGAGAATCAATTATCAAACATGGCAGAAGGGGGAATGCAACCTATGAAGGGACACGCGTCTTTATCCGCCACGATTCTTTTATGTAATCAACAGTGACTTTGATCAGTAAATTTTTGAAATGCTCCCCGCTAGCTACTTCCATTCGAAATCGTGATAGGGCATTTTGAAAACGACTTGGTCGACACAGCGACTCACGAGGGTTGGCTGATAATGGCTGTGCTTTCTAGATTGATCATTTTTGGGACTTTCCATTTGGCCCCAAACCAGTCTGGTATCAAGTGATTGACTCGGAAGGATGAAGGGATGGTTTCCCTAGGCGGCGCACGATCCTGGTTTGGATCTCCGTATCGTGCGCGTTCTTTAGCTGAATAGCTGAAGAAGAAGCTGAGTATTACTACTTTAACTGCTTCTCAATTGAGAAAAGAGCTATAAGAACTTGTATTACACCGAAATCTACACAAACTAACGCTGTTTGGCCCAAGCAGTTTTTTACCGAAAGAAACTGCTACTACAACAGCGAGGCTACCCACTTTAATTATTCGTCCCCCCGCTTCTGTAGGGGAGGTATCCACAATTTCAAAAAGTCTTCCGCACCTGGAAGGCTTTCGGAGAATCCTTGTTGGTGCCACGTTGCAGTCGGATACCGTTTGCGTTCTTGCAGAATCGATAGCAGAGATCTTCTGAGATCATGTTAGCAACACCTGAAGAACAACTTCAGTCCTCAAAATGGACCTGTGTAAAACAGTGCGTTTGCGTCTACTCCTGGGTATGGATTTTCAACCTAATTGCTTCCATTAACAAAGCACTCTGGCCATAGTTCTATACGAGTAAGCAAGTTATGCTGTGCATTAAAGTCCATCTCTGAAGATATAAATTCCCTATGTCGCTCCTTAAGGTTGAAAAGTGTGTATCATACAATAAGCCGAACGAAGGGAACAAGTGGTCAAAATCCGACACATGAACAAGACCCCCCCCCTTCCGACACGCGAGCCCCCTACTAAGACTGGCGTCAAGAGTTGGTCTATTGAGTGGGGATTGCCGCTTTTCCCATGAAAAAACCAAAGTCTTTTGCCTAAATAAAAGTAACACAGCTATCAAATATAGTCTAGGATCCCTGGAACTGCAAGAAGTCACAGATGTTCGCGACCTTGGTGTCAAGTTTGATAACAAGCTTGCTTTTGATATCTATTACAAAGAAATTGTGCATAAAGCAATGTGTAGAGTATATAATCTCTTCAGAGCCGTTAGAGCTAAGGACTCCAAGACGCTAATCAGAGCTTATAAAAGTTACGTCAGGCCGATTTTGGAATCAGGGAACAACTATTTTCTCTCCTCACAAGAAGAGGGATATACTCCTTTTGGAAAGCGTTCAAAACAGTTTCACGCGCAAGTTGGCTATGCGATGCACTGGTCTGGGCTATCAGTTTATTCCAGACAGTGTTGTGCGTCGTCGTATTTACTCAATTCCTAGTTTGCTCGTCCGAAGAAAGATTAACGACCTTGTCATGGCATTCAAAATCCTTACCAATAAGGCTTCGGTCAACTTGGATGACTTTTTTATTCTAAATCAGTCTAGAACGCGCGGCTGTGCTGTGAAAATCAGGCGTCCGGCAGTTAGAACTCAAATCCGAGCCACATACTTTTCAATCAGAGTGGTAGCTCTTCTTAATAAGATACTAACAGAGGATGTCATGCATTTTTCACTTAAAGTTTTCAAAGCTTTAGCAGAGAAATCAGTGCTTGCAGAGGATTCCTCCATTTTTGGTACCTGATTGTTGTCATCATTCCCATAGGTTGCGCCGTTTTTTTTTCTGCTCGTTAGTTGTTATGCTTTTATTTTTCCATTATATTTCTGTTGTGTTTGTTCATTTTTTTTTCAAGTTTTTGCTACACGGCGCTTACTATGTTGACGATGTTTTTCTTGCTTGAGTTGCCATACCCACGTGGACTCTGTCTGCGTCAATAAATGAATGAATGAAATGAATGAAAAGGGCCACAATGAAGAATGCATCCAGATGAGTGGAGCACACGGCTGGTTCTGCTTTTTATGTAGGAGTCAGATTTTGCTAAAAATCTCTGACAAACCTCTCTCTTTTTCAACTTCCTGCGTATATTTGAACACTTCCGCCGCATCGGAAAGCGCCTTTTCATGGAAAATTGATGCAATTTTAGTATACCTGCAATCGTTAATAAATTGCAATAGTGAATTTGAACATAATGAATTTGAGCATACCTTTTGGTATCACTAGTCATATCGGGAAGAGTGCCAGATAGCGGTAAAACTCCATGTTTCTGTACGAATCTCCGAAGTCCTGTACAAATCAGCCAGAAAGGTTGCACACATTTGGAGGATTCATCGCAATTTGCGTCCATTAAAATATTCTTCACGTGAACAGGTACCTTAAAAATCACTAGCCAAGTTCATCTCAACTCTGACACATCTTCAGTCTCACAAGCTTACCTCAGTCTTATGCATCGATCGTGCCGCTGCTGCTTTGGCTTCCTCGAAATTTTCGGCATCTAGAGATCCGGATTCGCCTTCCCGACGCATTTTCAACAATATTTCCAGGAAGTGCTTACGTTTTGCGTATGTATCAGGAAAGGCGTTATCGTGTCCTACCACCTGAAGTGAGTGAAACAAATGCTGCGCAACGACAACATACACAGATAACGACAAAGTTTAGGAGTGAAGCTCTCTACAGAAAGAGCCCTCGGCATTCATCTAATAAATTTGCTTGTCCAATCACATATCTATTTGTTTAGGGGCTGCACTGTGGCAAGTGGCGAAACTTATCACGAGCATGGTAGGCTACCAAATCCTGGCTAAATCTCGCCCATGCCATCCGAAGCTTCCATCTCTTCGTGGTCGGCTTATGGGTACAATACACGTTTGGATGATAAAACACTGACTTGTAGGTTGATGGCGCAAGTCAATGAACAGGCCAAAGCGTACATAGCCTCCATGCGGGCAGATCGGGACAAGCGCTCTGATTATTGTACGAAGAACACCGCTTTCATCAGGTATATATTGGGTTGTCTCATAATTCCTGTCGCATTTCTATTCAATTTCAAATTCCTTCCGTCTAAGACCGTTTCATTGCGAAATACGTTAGTATGTTGAAGTATGCTTCAAGAGCCTTAACAGCATGGTTTCGGAAGCGCAAGCCCTTAACGGGTTAATCAACTAGGAATAAAAATAGGTCAGTGACTGCAATGAATGATTATGCTTTACGATCCTCAAATGAACTCTGTAGCAAGGAGGACAACAGAGAAGATCAGCGCTGTGTTTGACCCAGTCTCTGCTACTGATAGGGTACTGAGCTAGTGGTCCAATCGCAACGGCAAAGACGAAACGAGCTATGAACTTCAACCTCATACTGGGCCTGCGGTCATTTTTGATGAGCGCCCCTTGCACCCTAAATTGGGAGTGCCTCCGCACGTTGCTACCAGGGTATTGTAGCAGATACCTGAGCGCAGCCGATGCACCAGCACACGCCATCAGTATGGCAAGGACTGCTGCAGAATGAAGTTTTGATGGAAACCTTATGGTCCGGCCGACCATGAGCGGGAAGCACGCCTGACCATCTGGGGAAAACCCATTCTGGGACGGCAAAAGCAGAGCCTTCCCTAATCGGTCACCAGTGGAAATGAGTCATGAGTCCACTGCGACAACAACATGCGGCACGTCTGATGGCTGCCTCGCAGCCAGGAAGCACCAGCTCAACCAAAGCCCGAACTCCGTTTTCTGAGAATATCGCTCTCGTTTTGTTGGATTCGCTAGGTGGCCTGGTTTGGGAACCACTTCAATGTATGAAGACAAGCATTGCTAAAGTCAGCGTGGAATAGCCCTCTATGTTGGCTTTGGGGTTGCCAGGGGATCGTCAGAAACGCCTCAGATCCTCCTTCCTCCGAATGTTTACCAGACCT